CTCAATGAAAACGACTTGTCATTACGTATGCTTTTACTCTTGATCCAGTATACGGTCGGTTCCTATATACTCACTCAGGTTCCAAAGGTGTTACAGTGATGAATGGACAGGGTGACGATAGGGATGAGAAGGTTACGCAAAGTATAGCGAGAACTCCCTTTGATCAGGTAGCTTGAACTTGAAAAGAGTAAGCTATGCTTCATTCAAACATTGGCAAAAACCGATTTTGTTGAAAATGTTTTAATGAAATGGATCTACCTCCGATAGAAAAATTTTGAAGCAGTAGAAGAGTTCTTCCGTATTGTTTCCAAGGTTTTGACGACTAATTTTCCATCTTTTCAGTACCATTACTGTATGCTCTACATGGCTCTGCCCTCGCGCATTACTATCATACTTTATGCACTGAAAATCATTGATGTTCCAGGTGGCTTTGCACTTCGAGTGGTTTTTTATAGTTCCAATAATTTTTTCTTGAAAAAAAGAATTGTTATTAGTTTTATAAAATATCCTACAGCTTTTATGGAAGCAGATAACTGCAAGGCTAGCTAACTGCTAAGGATCAAAAGATTTTCTGGAAGCGTTGAACAAAGTTCAATATCGTACGTGCTGTTCATGCTTCTATTTTCAGCAGAAAATCTTCATTCAACACCACCGTTCTTGATCGTATGTTATGTGAATATTTTTTGTAAGAGTATGCTTTCTATTGCTCTTTTGACTACGTTGATGGAACGGTTCATCGCTTCCCACTATATCAGCGATTATGAGACGAAATCTCGTCCCTGGATCGCCGTCGCTGCCATCATCATTTCATTTTCAACATCCTCCTTGTGTACATTTGCACTATTCACCGGTAAGGAAAGGTTCGAATTCAAAACAACAATAACGACTTCAGTCGGGTTTTCGTATAGAGTAGTTGATTGCTTTTTGTAAGAGGTTAACGAGCTTCGGTCCTGAATCAAGACAATCATAAATAAAAGAGATCTGCTATAATTGTTTACCCTCTTTCTTACTATTGCGCGACGCTCGTTGATCGACAATTTTCTACCTCACCAACCAGCTTCCCATCTCTATATCCGAGTCTGCGAGCTCACGGCGAACGGTAGTTCGCCACCCATGTTCACCGCCACCTTAATTCAACCCCCCCCC